GCCCACAGCTGTTCTTTGTCCGTATTTCCTGTAAATCTATTTATTAGGAGAAGGATTCTTAAATACACATATCATTAATACTACTCATTAAAATGTTTTGCTTCATGATATGTCGCACTAATGTTACCATTTTCATTAATATTTGCTTGTTTTAAATGTCTTTTGGAAGATTTCAAACTGAAACGTACATGAAATGCTATGGAACTTTTTTTTTTTAAGAAAAAAAAACAAAACATGGATATCAAATATTCACTGCTAATAAATCCAAGAAGAATCTATACAGAGAAAATATATTCAGGACTTCTCTGAAAGCAGACATTGTTTAAGGGTGGATGGGGAAGTTATGGAGCTGAAGCGTATTTTTCACGCTGAGGGTTTTTTTTTCCCGAGTTTTCTTTTCTTGTTTTTAACAGGTGTGCTGAAGACATGAAAACCTTCTGGATATAATTTTTTTTCCTGTCAGTCCTCTTGCACTGAGTCCTCTGCACTCTAAGAGCACACAAAGTTACCTCACTGTTTTGCTAAGATGGAGAACACACAACTATCAGATCTAGTCTACCAGTGGACATGTACCCACAGAAACAAGAACAAAAACATCAAGTCTCCAGTCACCACCAGGTGCTAACTCTTTCCTAACTAGTCTAAAAGTGAAAGATTGAACAAAGCAGATAAATTCATGCACAACTCCATTGGGTCTTTCTTGTATTTTACCCTTGACATTTTTTTCTTCATGGATTTTTTTTTTTTTTGGTTATATCTGGAACATCTGAAGCAATATGGAAAAGATGAATGAAAAAGAATTATTCACTCACATACTACAAGATCTGAGGAGCATCAAATGAAATTATGATGTGTCAGACCCAAAACAAGCATAAGGAAGTACTTCTCCATATAGCACATAGTTAAACTGTGGAAGTCCTTGATCCAGGATATTGGGATGCCAAGAGTATACTTAGGTTGAAAAGGTCAACGGCTAAATTTATAGAATAAAAATCAGTCAAAAATTATTAACCTTAAGTATATCACATCTTGTTTAGTCAGTTCTACACTAACAGATTGCAAGAAGCTGGGCACATATACTCTATTTGCTTAACCTGTACCTATACTCTTCCCAGGACATCTGCTAGTGGCCTGTCAGAAACATGATACCAGAAAATATAGACCTTTCATCTCACCTAATTGTGGCTCTTCTAGCTTAAGAACATAACAAACGCTATAAAAATTAACAGGAAGAGGGTTATTCATTACAACCAACACACCTTCTTTAAACACATAGGAATAAGATATGTGAAGAGTTACCCTATCCCATCACAACCCAACTTGTTCATTAACAAGATGTCTACCCTAACATTCTGAGAAAGAACCCTTGATAGTAATGTTAACATAAATTTGGATACTCAAGAAGTCTGAATTGTTTTAGAAAACTATATATAAAGATCTGTATCAAGTCTCAAACAACTTAATTATGACACTGTACATATTCCTAATTTCATGCTTCATGTTAGAAAATCTTTAACATCATAGTCAGTTCTTTAAGTTGCATTCTATGCAAAGACTGAAGAAAAAAATAAATAAAAATCAATTGTTTAGACCTGAAGAGCTGAGTCAAAAGATTAGCCTGACACATAATGTTTCTGGTGCCCACTGCAAAGAATCGTTCCCAACTGCTGCAACATACAGTATGTTAAGTACAGTCCACTACATCCACTGATTAATTAGCTCAGCATATTTCATAATTCAATTTCTTATTATGATCTGCTAAAAGCATCCTCTTTAGCAAGACCTAAACATAAACCTTTAATTAGGTGAAGGGCTGACAAGTCTTATGGCATGGATTTACATTACATCTTGTAACTCAGAAAGCAGTTTTAATTGAAAAAGAATAAACTCATTTAGAATACTATCATGATGAAGCTCAAATACATGCTTATTGTGTTAAGGTGGTAGTATAACTACATAAAAATCATTAGGAATTATTAAAAGAAGGGATTAAGGGATTCACTTAGAGCACGGCAATACGTAGTAGGAACAGTTTCAGTGGATTCCTCTATACAACATCATGATTACTGTCATCTGATCATAACACAAGTGCAACTAACACAGCTGCCATGTCAGCTTCTCTTCAGGGGCTAGGTCTTAATCATAAATCAACTGAATGACTAATTCAACATTGTTAAAACCAGCAAGTAGCTGCTTGGAGCCATTCCAGTTTTTACATCTTTCAAAAGGTCAACACACCTACTCAGACACACAATAGTCCTATCTTTCACTGTGTTTTCTTCTTTTCTAGGATTGAAAAATAACATGTTAGCACTTAAATGTGTGTTTTAGCTAACAGTTAAAATGTTCGTTAATTCTGAAAGAGTGACCCAGTAAAACAAAGAAAGTTTTAGTTTTCCTCTCATACCCACAATCAAAACACCTCTCCTCTTCTTTGCTGTTTTAAATAGTTCTATAGTTGTAGAAGTTTTATGAAAACATTTTTTACTGCTGAGCATTTCCTGCATTAACCTTACTTTTGTTACAGTAATATTATGAATTAGGCTCAGGAATAAACTTTTTCAAGTTGAACGACTAGTCTAAATGTGGCTTACATTTCAAATGTGTACCTCTGCCCCTCAAAATAGTAACAAAAATCACAAATTAAGTGGCATCTAACAGCAAAATAAATTCTAATCATTTACATCTGCTTGCACCATACAAATGGCAAAGCCTACCGTTAGCATCCTTCATAGAAAAAATTTATTCTGCTCTTAAATATGAAAGCTATGTTGCATAAACAGAGGATTTAAAGCTGTAGCAGAGTGGCTGAATGAAGGAAAATGGCAATCTTTCTGGTTCTAGTAGATGCCTTTCCCTATCACACAATGTTTCCCACTCATAAATACATGACAAATACTTCCTCAATCATTTTTTACGAGCAGGGATGCACAGGGGGTAGTCAATGGCTAGCTTGAGGGAAAATAGGAACAGCAGGAGGCAGAAACTGTACTGAAAATGGCTATGTGGTAAATTCTCTTCTGGAACATCACTCAGCTACCCAGGCTTTGATCTTTCAGCTACAATTACACTAACATCCATGAGATCTGGATATACTTTTTTTAAACTAAATCATTAATTGTAATAGAAACAGTTAAACCATTTCATTATATGACTTCTCAATTCAAACATCTGATTTTTTTTTATTTTTTTTTACGAATTAAAAATTGTAATTTATACAAAGATTTGCTTTCAATTGGGTTTAACTATGTCATCATCACAACCAGTCTCACAAAAAACATGGGGTGACTGGCGACAGCTAAATCACAGACTGGCGTCTCCTAAGTAGTCTGTCTACCATTAGGGTCTGGGAAACAGTATTTACTGTACAATTAGAGCCAGTGAGCTCTACCTGTAATCATCCAAATACAGGTGTGAGGATCCTTTTTTGGACAGGGAAACCGATGCATCCATTTTCACATAAACTTCCACATCCGTACTGTTATAGCAAACCTTAGGATAGCTCAATGTTTGTACTTGAAAAAAATCACCTAACAGAGCAAGTGCTACTACCCAGATTTTAAAGACTTTCCTGGATATAACCACTTTTAAAGTTCAAACATTCCTACGTCTAAAACATTTAAAGAATGAATAAATTAAATTAACAACTATAAAATTTGGCCAAACATGAAAAACTTAAGATTATTACATCGTTTACCAAGTTCAATCCAAACTCTGTGTTTTGGGGCTGACATCGGTTCCTATTTAATAGATTAAATTTTGTTCTTTAATACTAACACAAAATTTCTTGGAGTATCAAAAGGACAGTTTTAGTTGCAGTAATTTCACAGAATTTATTCTAATGATTTATTGGAGTTAACCATCTGACATTAATTATTGTTTTGGCTTCCAGTCTATGAATGTTTATTTTTCAGTTTAAAGCCTTCTCACTCTTTGATATCATATGGAAATGAGAATTTTTAATGGAAAATTGAAACCATGTGCATCTAAGTACTTAATGAAGTACAGGGAGAAACAGAGGGTGTACTTTAGGAGAATTCAGATATTCCGCTTTGGATACTTTTGATTTGTTTGGATGAGTTACATGCATATATCTGTTCACAAACATGCGTTTATATATCTTCAAAGTATCTCACAAGTGAAGTGTTTAAAGATGTGAATACTAAAAAAATATAAAAAGGTTGTTGTGTTTTTTTTTTTTAAATATACTGCTATTGATTTTTCTTCATAATATACTATTTAATCTCTTCCCTCCTCCACAAACCAAATATTTATCCCATCTAGAGCTTCCTCTGACATGCTAAATGCTGTACTTCTCAACAGCAGATTCCCACCATATGTCTACCATGCTAGGACTGAATCTTCAACCAGTTCATTGAATGTCTGATAGATTGATTTCATAACCATCATGTACTTAAGTCATAATATTGATGTCAGGAATACGTGAACAAAACCTGCACTGTTTGTGGCATTCAAGACCATCAAGGCAGGCCTATAAACTGTAAGCAAAGTGCAAGCAGTAGCAAGGAAACAAGGAACCCAACTGCCAACAGAAGTGTACTGTTAAAATGCGCAATTTTGCCACAGTTTGAAAGCCTTCTGTGCAACTCACATAGCTTTACTCCTCTGGCATTCAATTCATTCCCTTGGAATGAAAAAGATGTTCAGATGATCAGCATTATACAACAAGATAAAAGTGTGTGTTCATTTAAATCTTTAGTTCTAAATCAAAGCTGTTTCTTCAGAGTTAGTGGATTCACATAAAAATATAGGGAAGGAAATATATTGTTTTCTATTCTACACTTTCATTCAGGGTTTCGCCATATGCATTGTACTCAGCAGCATATCAGTGGGAGCATAACAGGCAAAACGAAGTGCAATGTTAGTTTTTATTCCTATTTTAATTAACTTACTTTGATCTTAATGAGCAAGGAATTATTTGCCATTGAAAAAAATGTGACATAGAAATAAATCTAGATATTTGAGCTGAACACACTCACCATTTGTTTTTCTTTCTTATGTAGTCTTTTTCAGAGAGGTTAACCAAGTAGATCATTGGTTTTGAAGTGAAAAACAAATGCTTGTTCAAAACATCAATCTAGAAGTCAAAATACAGGAAGAGAATTTTAATAACAAGTTATACCAACTTAATTTTAGGACTATTTTCCTTATGGCATTTCTGAGAAGGCAGCAGAATTAAAGTTCAGTATGTAGATCACACTGACAAACACAGCACTGTCTGATAAATTTAACATTCAGTACACTCTGAATACGAATTCTTTAAAAAAACTTTTAAAAGAGAAGACAGTAACAGGTAGCAAAATTAGAAGTCAATTCATGGGATAATACTTATAGCCTACCTCTTTGTCATTCCAATCATGATAGAAGCGGACAGCTTTCTTTTCATCTATTACCCAGGTTTTGATTTTGCACATTACGTCCTATGCGAGATCAAGAAAAAACAAAGTCAAAAACTCAGCTGGATATCAGACAATTCTCTTCCATAAACACGGCGTGTATACATTAAAATTCAAAATGTACAAACGAATTAAAAATTAGATGGCATCTTTTAAGAACAATTTTTACTACCCCAGAAAAATAAAAATTCCTGCTTTGAGTCACTAAAGAGAAATAGCAATTACTGCGGAAATACAAATCACATAATCAGAAAGTTAAATACATATTATCCAAGTATCATCTCTTGCCATCATGAAAATTAGAAGAGCTCATAAAACATATGTAAAAATCGGTACATTTTAGATTGCTTTTCAAACTCAGTAAGACGCGACATTTCAGCATCCAGCGGGAGAGACCACGTACAATATAAACATGCCATTAAGAGAAGGGAATGGGTGGGGAAAAAACACCGCGAATATATTTTTTTTCGATTGTTAGCAAAAGAAATTGAGTCTATTATTGATGATCCACCCTTCAAGAAATTAATTCAAATGGCCAGAGCCCTTTTTATTCCGCATTAATTTTTTGCCAACACCTTCTCCCTCCCCCCCAAAATGAAACCTGCCAAAGCCTCCATTACACAATGGCAAGAGCCTTGCACTGGTGACCTCCAACCAGCTGCATTCACTTTCAGAACATCTCTCTCTGCAGGAAATCTAAAGGCCTTTTAGTTAGCAAGCTAGTGTGCATTCAGAAGGAGTAACTGCAGGAAGAGCCCAATGTGCTTTGTTTCTCTGGCCTTTCTTCACAGAAAGATTAATCATCTGTGAAATGGAAACGGCAAACAGCAAGTGACACAAACTGAACCCTTCAAGCCTTTCCTCATCAGTTTTGTGGTGCTGAATCTGAAAGCTGCGTGTGGCATGGCTCTCCTTACAGGCAGGTGTTAATAAAAGGCTCTTGGGTCTGAAAGGTCAAACTTGCCTCTTCTAGGAGTAGTACATTTCAGAGTCGATTTTTTCTGGTAGATAATTTATGATCATGCTTTAAATAATGCATTTTTGGGGGTTATAATTGACACAACGGAGAATTAAGGTATTTGAAATACAAAGAAACGTTCCCGAAACCGTTGCACGCACAAAATTTTTTTACACTTAATGCTATGCGGCTGAAGCACACTATAAACAACCACAAATAACATCAGTATTTACTACAGTCTTTCCTAGTCAAGCAGTTGCTGCAGCGAAAAACAAAGACAAAGCTCTTCAAAATCTTCAGATCCTGATTTGAAACCCTCCAGGAACATGACTCCCCACAGATTTTAACAAGGAAGGGGCAAGCTAAAACTTTTAATGAAATCTAACATGTTCTGACGAAGAATAATCACTTTTACTCTCCTATAAGTGAATTTCACTCATAAATGTTTAAAAGTGGCTAATATAACACCATTTCCTACAAGGAGAAGATCAAAGTGCTATATTACAAATGCATTATGATTAAAAAAGCACTGTGCAGCTTTGCTATTAACTGTTCTTTAAACCCTAAAAGGCTTCCCATAGATCTCACTTGGCACTGCATATACAACCTTTGACAAGTAATGTAGACCATTTTTATTCATTGCCTAAAATTGTAGGCAATTATGTGCGTCACACTGGCCACCTGCAAATTCTGAATGCCTGCTCCAGTTGTCAGAGCAAAAAACTAATGTCGGAGGGGATTAATCTAGGGGGAGAGAGTCCTCTTTAATGGCTCCAGCAGGTGAAATGGCCCAGCTGGTTACTGTGATGAGTGGCCAGAACAGCTTATGTAGAGACATGCAACAAGATTACACATAAAGAAAACCACGGTGCCATCTTATCTTTAACCCTATCTGCTTTTTATTTTTTAATTAATCGCTACAAACGAGGCAAGGGAAGCAGTTCTGGCAATAGGTGCCTTTCATTTAAGATCTTTATCTTAAGCTTTCATTTAAATAGATCGACAAAAAAAAAAAAAATCAACGCAGTCTCGAATTCCTGTCTAGCAGTGAAGGAATTCTGACTACCTTATATTTCAGGTTTTTAAATAATTCTATAGGCACCTACCACGTGGCTTTCAGCATTACAATTCCCCTCCAACAGCAATTCATTATTGCATATAAATTAGAGTCAATAAAAAAATTACAGAAGAAAACACTATAGCAAGAGTTGTCAAAGCCAATTTTTAGGCTTAAGCTACAATAAGTTCATGGTTGTTTTTTTTCCAATCACGCTGTAAGGATAGCTACATAACATGGAACCTCCAAAAATTTCAAGGATCAATACAACAAACAACGTTTGCTCTTTCTAAAGCATATCTAAGCACAGAGATGTGAATCAGAGAGTCACTTCCCCATTCAGCTGGCTACTTCTAGCTACATGTCTAAGCCAATTTTGAAAGAGACCTAATTTTTCAGAGTTCAGTTTTAGGTACCCAACTTTACGCAGTTCACAGCTGTTGTTCCAGAGGAATAATTGCATGGGTAACTTCTGCAGGGAAGGCTGCTCAACCCAACCTGCTGCGCAGAACTGACAGCTGTATGCATGCAAGCTTGCGTCAGTTTTACACAGAAAGTGGCGAAGTATTGGAAAGCTTTCTTGAAAAAAAGGACAAACTTATTAGCAAACATAACATCTATGTTCAAAGCTGGTAAGACAGGAAGACACACAGGAAAAAAAGTGGAAACGATTATTCAGAGGCAAATTTTCTCTGACAGAATACTGGGACAGCCACACCAAGCAGAATTTAAGGGAAGGAGCCCACAACTCAAATGACACGTGTAACAGATGAACTCGGATTCCCCTGCACCAGTGGTGGTGTCGCCTTCACTTGAGATTTAATATGACCCTTTAATGACAGATCTGTCAACTGCTAATAACAATAAGAAGAAAGGCAAGTTTTCCCAGGTATTTCTCCTTCTCTCGGCCACCCCAAAACTAAATAAACACACAAAAAGCACGTTTTCAGGGTGTCTTTTATTAAGCACTGTTTTTACTTTTATTACTTGTTTCTGTTTAGGCCTGGCAAAAGAATATGAACTGACCTTTTTTTTTTTTTTTTTTTTATCTTCACTCTCATTGTAGCAGTCATTTAAACACATTTAGTCATTACTCTAGTTAACCCAGGGATGCTCAATAACAGAACACAGAGCAATGATCCACTTTGTTTCATTAGGCCTGGCCTCCCCAGTTGTGTGCTGCAAGGCCAATCTGTCAGCAGCAGAACGATGCCCTTCTCCTTCTCTGATGAGAGGGGGACTCTGGTTCTGTTTTTCAAATAGCAACATTATACCAAGCATCATTTAAAAACACCACCCAAAAAGCCTCCAAAATCTGATTTAGTTATGATCGTCAAAGCACGTGAAGTACAGCAAACATTATGAATATCAAATACCACTGTTTTAAACATTAGATCATTTCTGACTGTGGCAGTATGGCAGTATATTTAGAACATGTGAATGGTTGGTATATTTAGCTATATGCAGTATGGAGATTTTAATTTAGGACCTGCTCTCCTTTTCAAATGAAGGCAAGTAGTCAACCCAGAAATGTTAAACAGGACCTTAACAGTAAATCCCAACAGTATAAAATACCATGAAGAAATACATTTAAATTGCATTTAGCAGATTTATCAAGATATGCTCATGAGACACTACTGTGTAGATAAATGTGCATATATTAATAAACTCTCTGGATGGATGATAGTAATAATGTGTGCCAATGCCAAATTCTTCTTACAGCGTGAGGGACTAAACTGAAGCTTGGAAAACTCACTTGCCTACTTGGCATCAGAGAATTGAGAGGGTTTTGTTGGAAATTAGCAGGGCATGTAATTAACTTCCGCAAATTTAATAAAGAAGTAAGCAGTTGTGAGGATTATCACTTCACACTTCAAAGTGCAAGTGAACTCTGTGATTTTGCAGGCAGTGCAAAAGTCTCTGCTACTACGGAGACTAACTGTGAATATAGGGCTCTTTCCTTCCCCCAGACAAGAGATTTCTAGGAAACAAGGTGCTTCATAGCACCTTATTTGTTTGCCTCTGTACTTCCAAGCTATAATAACTGACCAACTACCTATGAACACTCTTCAAAAGCAGATGTTTAATTAAAATATTTCAATTTAGACATTGCTATACCAAAGTAGCAACATGGCAAATGAAGTGAAATTGGCCAAATTCCATCAACTTCACTGTTGCGCTCCTCTGAAAAAAAAGAAAGCCTACCTAAAATGTTACCCGTATCTCTTAGTTAGCGCCCCTCATTTCATACAGGAGTCAACAGCATAGCATGCCAGTAGTAATAGTGTAAAATTAATAATATTCAGACTTCCCTAAGGAATTTGGCTAAGTCACATAAAAGTATTTTAATTAAAAAACAAATACTGCATACACTAAATGGAATCAACACTACCTAACCAGTAGGTCTTGAGTGTAAATGTAGGTAGAAAATTCAGTGGGTGGTGCTCCAAATAAATTATTTGCATATTGCTACTTAACTTTCATCAACATCGTAAAAAAAAAAAATGAAAAAGACCATTTTAATGATACAGATTACAAGAATAAATGACTAAAAACATGAATCGCACATGTAGTGACCAGAACTGTCAGATAGATTTAGCGAAAGTAAACAACGTGTATCATTAGAATAAATTCAAGCTCATATGGATACCGGGTGGGGAAATGTGAAAGGGAGGACAAAGTATTTACCAGGTAGAGGACATGCCCCTTGCAAGACTGACCAAGACTTGAACTTCACAAGATTAGGCTTTAGTTACTGTACTGTAACTAAAAGGACTAATGCAGTCTTCGAGTACATAAATACTAATGTCAAAGGTGAATACTTCCACACTTATCTGATGAAATATCAAAAGATGGGAGAAAAATGATAAAAGGCATTAAAAAAATACTTAGATATGAAGATTTCACATGCTTGCATCTCACCAAAAAGTCAGGGCTTTTCACACTAGCATGCAAAAAACGCATGGCTAAAAGTTGAAGCTTGGCAAATACAAACTAAAAACATGGTGT